GAGAAAAAAACGAAAGATGCTAGAATTTTATTATGTGAACAAAGTCCTTGATAGTTTTTAGAATTGTCAGAAATGAAGAAATTGACAAGCAGTAGGAGGCAGGCAGTCTGGCAGAGATTGATTAAAAAATGCTGCTTTCACAAAAAAATTGCAGACGTGATGCAAAAAGTAGGAAAGAGTGGGTAAGCGTACTCTAGCTCCTCCTCCTTCGAGACCTATGTATGTGAATATGACTAGAGTAGAGTTTCTTCTCTCTCATTACATACTCTTCTAAACAAATAATCCGATTAAACGAACAATGAACATCATACATTGATAAAATTTCGATCGATAACAAAAAAAGCAATTTCCGATTTTACAAATTGTTTTTCACTATTCTTTTCAATAAATTGTCAATCAATACAGCATGTTCATGGACGTATTAACGAATGACTCTTTAAAAAAAAAAAATTCTATAACCTCGTTATTTGTTATTTTCAAATAAAATTTAAATAATTTTTTTCCGGATGAAATCACCTATTTCATTCTCATTCAAACATCCTTATCTAGAATCTTTTTCTTTGTTCATATTATGCCCGATAGGGTTAATCCAATATAATACATTCTGTTGTTCTTTATGACACTTAGAGAACGCAGATAAAAAAAAAAAGTGTTTTATTTGAATGACTTGAAAAAATAAAAAACAAAAGCATTTGAAATACTTTTAATGATTGTCAAAGTTGATAATTATTATCTTTATTTAAAATTAGTATAGAAATAGTTGTTTTTTCTATGAATAGAAAAGAAAATAATGAAGTTTTGAAAATTTTTTGTTTGATTCGACTCGACGATCCAATAAACAATAGACAAGGACAATGTTTAAGTTTATGAATAACAACAAACTTCCATCAATCAGTTTGTTACATTTACAAATGATCATCAATGTCGTTAATAGATACAATCTGGACGGATAGATTATTAAATTATTTGGATTCTGAATCGATGATTTTGATCGAATCATTCTTATAGAAATTTATTGTTGATGATAAGTTATTTTAATTTATGTTTATTGTCTAGATAAAAGAAACGCAAATGAACAATGGATTAATCAGCAGTTCTATTCATTTACATTGATTTTCTTTTTATTGGATTATTAGGATAGAAATAGAATCATTATTTATTTTTATGTAGGTAAAAGTAATATGATAGCTCAATTGGACAAACTTATTAACCAAATAAAAGAAGGTCAAACTGAATGAAAACATAACAAAAATTAATGAACTATAATTGATTAGTGTATTTCCATTGGATCAACACAGAACAAAAACCAAGCATATTCAATTGTTAATTTACTTGTTGATATTTATTAATTAACTGTCTTATCAAAATTAAACTAATTAAAACTGATAATAAATGAATTTATCAGTCTATCTCGACATGACTAAAAAATAATAATAATAATAAGTTGTTGAAATTTTTGAAAAACATTTTAACATATATTTAATATTTAGTTTGATTTTATTTGCTCGTAAGATATTCAACAATAAACATAGCAAACTAAATAACCTTCAATATACTTATTTTAACCAAAGTCAAAAAATGTGTCGAAAGATAATAGTCAAATGTTGACAGATTCTGCTAACAAATGTATGTTGATATATTCATTTCTTTCAGCTAATGTCAGTCGTCATAAAGCTCAAATATTTATTTTAAACTTTGATTCGACAAATGACATTGAAATAATCTTCTTCAAAGTAAATCTACATTCTTGAATTAACAATTCAAAAAATTCTTTCATAATATCTCATCATTTATTTATTTTTCTTACGTATAAGAAAATGTATTCATGATAGAAATGATCTTTGAAGTTGTTAGTAAATTATTCATCGTTATTAATCAAAAGAGAATATCAGTCATTTCATTAACCTTTAGTTTAGAGCATCAACATCAGTTAAAATTATGTTGTTCTTTGATCTCTATGAAAAATTAGTTTAATGTGAATGAAACAAATTTTATCTTATTCGTTTTGATATTGTAAGATATAGACAGAATACATCATATTCACATGTACCTTTATCGTTTGCTTACTGAACTAATTAATAACTATGAATGAATTATATCTGATTATCAAGAAATTTGGCAATGTAACCAAACACAAAAGTCTTATTATGAATCAAATTTGAAATCGTACTGTAAATGACTTGGAAATAATAAGAAAATATTCTATAGAGACCATCCGAATATAACATACAGCTATAATTCTATTTATAATATTCTCAATGAGAAAAAAATGATCATATTGATGCACATAAAATCATGTAAAAAGATATTAACGATTTCACAGCGAGCATATATAGAGATAAAATCATCTAAATGTACCTCAAAATGTCAACATTAACATCAATATTATCTATGACTAAGAACGAAAAATATTTTGAGACATTGAATTGTCATCAAATACTAATAACTATTAGTAAAAAAAAACAACTTGATATTGATCATATGTTTCTGCCTGAATCATAGGACAACCTTGATAATTTTCATGTTTATTTTGATCATTCATTGTAATTCACTAATTGAAATATTTGATTGAGACATTAAAAATCAAATGACAATGTTTTTCTCAACAACATTGAAATATTTTCATAGAATTTATCAAAATCAGTTTTATTGATTTAAATCACAAACGAACATGAACATAGACTATTATATGAAGAGAAAATAACCAAAATATGCTATTAAACAAGTTCTTCTATTTATTTTAATCTTATTTAAACTGCGCAAAATATTTGTTGTGCCTTATCTAAACTCAAACAATAATATAATTGGTTTATTATTGAAAGAATAGTTTACGTAAAAATTCATTACACGAAATCTAAATCTTTTAAATAAGAAAGTTATCAATCAATAAATTATCGTTCACAAATTTGAAAGACATAAAATAACACATTTATTTTATCGATAGAATTATATATTTATTAGTCTGACATAAAGTATCATTCAAAATCTTTATTTCATCTTGAATTTTTTTCAAAGAATAGTTAATCATATAACGATTGTCGCATAATAAATGAAATGGGACGAAATGTTTTTCTTCTTTTAGGGTACTTTCACAGACAAAGGAGACTTTGATTTAAGCTTATTTAATAAAGAATTTCCTGTTTTACAAAACTGTCGTCTTTGTTTTTCAAATAACTTTTCTTTGATCGGCGTAAAATTTAGCAGATGAATATTCACTCAATCATTTCACTGCAATTTCCGATTTTCTCCAGGCATCTATCAATTTGTGTAAGCTGTAGTTCATCACATACACTGCTATAAGTAAATTATTTGACATTAATGGATAGAAAATTTCATGCACTCTGTTTCCACGACCTTTTTAGCATTTCTACTACTATTGTTTAGAAGAAAAAGCCTTTGTTGTGACTCTATCGGATGTAGAATTTAATGCTGAACAAAATGATATGAATTGTTTCGCATATACAGTAGTAAACAACAGTCTCCGTCCCAGTCAATCTCGGTCATTATATGTGCCGGATGTATTCAGATTTGTCAATATATACTTAACCAAGAATGTAGATCAGTCTAGAAAGAAAGAGTATTTTGTAGTAGCTGACTCCTCAATATGTAATAATGCTTGAGCTATTGAATTGATAAGTTCATTGAAGTTTATTAAACATTTGACAAATGATGTTCATTTTACTGTGATCATTGCTGTAGAACAGAAAGCATCTACTAATTTTTGAAAGCCAATAACTCAGCGATAGTTCAATGGAATGAGTTCAAGCTTTTTAAGAAGCTTCATCTACAGTTAGACATTGTCACCCATAAGTTTTAGCAGCAAATCTTGCACGAAATAGAGACCGAACGTAGATGATCAAATTATCAGTTACAAGGATTCAGAAATATCAATATTCAAACAAATAAATTTAGTTTTTGAATGAAGAAGGACTATAGACAACTTTAATTATATACAAAATATCAAGAACTAGTCATATTGTTAGAAAGAAACAGCGCAAAACTTTGTAAGCAGTCATTTTTCGGGTTATAGTATTCAGAGTCAAAAAAAAAGGTACCGTCCATTGTAACTCTCTTTGTAATCAAGCAATAATAGTGCAGCAACACTAATAATCTAGATTCTAGATGGAGTATGTATATACACATTTTCTTACCTGCAACAGATACAATAGCCGAGACCGACTGAAACGAAGAGTTTTGTCAACTAATTTGTATATTCTAAGATCTGGAAACACACATCAAAACATACACTATTTTATAGCGTATTTATAATTTCGGCGAAATCTGGTATTCCTTAAGCAGGTGTTTCACAGGGAATACATAGTAACATTAAAGTTGGTGTTCCCCATTATGAAAAAGTGTTCCACCTTATATATAATATTATATATAAGGTGGAACACTTTTTCATAATGGGGAGCACCAGCTTTAATGTTACCGTGTATTCCCTGTGGAACACCTGCTTAAGGAATGCCCCAAATCTTTATGAAAAATTTTTCGTTTTTTGACCGTCGCAATTAAACGATTGAATAAATGTTCATCTTTTAAATATTGCGCCGACAAAAAAAAAGAAAGATAGTAGCTTTGTGGAGACGGAAGTTCTCTATCAAATGTGCCTGAAACAAATTGTCTAGTACATTGGGAAGTGCCCTAAACAGAGGAAAACATTTTGTTCTATTCATTATGCGCCATCCGTTAAACCTCGATTTCATCATAGTCTTATTCATTGAAAGATAACACAAGAGTATCAATTTGTAACATTCTCTTCTTTGTTCATAATCGTATTTTGAAACAAAATGAATCATCTTGAAACTAAGCTTATATTATTGCCAAAAAATGAATAGATAAACAATACTAGTTTAACAAGAGAAATGCAGGATTAAACTACTAAAAATAACTATCTATTAAAAGAACAAAGCAGGATTGAACCGGAAAGACAAATAAAATCGTTTTTTTGAAAGCTCCAGACTATGACATGTAAACATAAAAAAAGATTGATTAATTCATTAAGTAATTACAGTTGGTTTGTCACGTCCAGTAAATTCTGTCAATTGAGCGATTTCAAGTGCTAACGAGACTAATGGTTTAAGCATTTCCTATAAGACAAATTAATTAATAAATGAATAATATTCGTTAAAAGAAATTCAACCTGTGCATCTTTAGTATAAGTCGCAGGATCATTTTCATATGAATCAACATAAAGACGAACAGTAGCACCACGTGAACCTGTTCCACTTAGACGAAAAACTAATCTTGAACCATCAGTAAATATAATTCTAATGCCTTGTTTTTCAGTATAACTTCCATCAACTGGATCTTGATAATGAAAATCATCCATTATTTTAACTGTATATTGTTTATTTCCATATGGTGTATTAAATGTTTTATTAACTAATTCATTTGACATACACATCTGTTCAAGTCGTTTCATCATTGAAAATGGACCAGGACCATTGATTTCTTCATAATCATAACTAAATATTCAACAATTAAAATTTAATTTAATAAAAATAAATAAATTTGACCATACCGTGTAAAAAAGTTTCGTCCATATGTATTCCAATGAGCATGTAAAATTTTTTCAACAGATCGATCAATATTAGCTAATACTGATAACCATGCAAGTACTGACCACATACCATCTTTTTCTCTACATAAATAAAACAAAACAATTTTAATGTCGAATTAAATTCAATATATATATATATGCCGAATATGATCAGATCCTGTTCCGAATGATTCTTCACCACAAATTGAAATTAATTTTGAATCCATTAAATTTCCGAAAAATTTCCAACCAGTTGGAACTTCATATATTGATTTTTGACTTTTTGCAGCCACACTAATTAAATACAAAAATAAATCAGTTTATCATTATTATTAATGTATTTGGTTCTAAAAAAAAACGATTATTCATACCATTTACTTTTCTATCGATTTCAATCAATAGGGAAACATGAAAAGATTAGGTTTTAAGAACCGTGTCAAATATCCTATGATATTCTTCATATCATGCATATTCTAAACGTTCTTGAATAGTGCTCAGTGTGAGCAAGTTTTTTTTTATCGCATTTACAAAAGCTACCAAAGATAGGACTAGAATCAGTTATCGACCAATTTATCAGTGGACTGATCATTACTAGTATGTCTTATGAATTTTTTCGTTCTTAGTATCTCATAGAAGATGTGTAATAAAACTTTGCTGAAAGTTGACTATGTCAAAATTTTATTATTCCCAAAAGGAATAGTACCAGAACTTGTCAGTTCAATGTCTGTATGAATTTCAGACCGATCAATAATCTCTAAATCGATTGCATTTTTGATGGCCACAATTTGTAACCCGTGAGTCACAGTCACGATTTTCTGGTTTTCGCGATGCGCTTGACATCTTTTCGTAAACAATTTATATTGTTGACAAACAGCAAATACATCAAATCTAGTGTTCAAAGCAATAAGAATATGTCGTAGTAATTATATGCATTTCTTTTCATTCAGAAAAAATAAAAAACAAATTATATCAAGAGTTTAGAAAGATGAGATTTTTTTTCTATAGAATATCTAATCTAGTGAACTTCGACAAAAAATAAGCGACTATTTCAATATCCGTGACCATGAACAATACTGAGACATAGTCGGGAGAATATCAACTGTAACAATATTTGATTTGTATTGGAGTTATACTAAAATAATTTTATTTATTACTATTTTCGAATATAATTGGTCGCATACTATTTGTTATAATACGCATAATATTTTTTTAAGAAAAAAAAGAACTTTTTATACAAACCGATCAACTGCACCAGACGTCGGCATACTTCTTGCATAACCATGAACACCATGTTTTTGAAAATATGGAATAACATGAAGATTAGCAGCTAAAACAGCTAATGAATCACAAGGTGTAACAAAAAATCCATGTTTGCCTAAAATCATATTACGATCCTATTTAATTAAGAAAAAAAAGCCAAACAAAATAAAATTAATATCGATTAAAAAACTAAAAATAAAATAATGAAACTAACTCCATCTCCATCAAATGCAGCTCCAAATTCATAATTTCCATGTTCCATATCTTCAACTAATTCATGAGCATAAGTTAAATTTGGATCAGGATGATGTCCACCAAAATCTTCTAAATTTTGGCAATTTTTAACAGTAACAACTTCTTTTGCATTTAATTCTTCATGAAATATTCGTAAAACATATGGACCCATAACACCTGATAAAGCATTTATCATTATTGGAAATTTTTCATGTTCACCAATGAGTAAATTTCGAATTTTATTAAAATCAAATATTTCTTTCATTAATTGAACATAATCATCAACAGAATCAATTATTTCAATTTCAAATGGTGTTGAACGACCTTCAATATTATATGTATGTTTACCAAGTGTTAATAAATCAATATTTATTAATGTTGGACAAAGACGAATATTTGTTAATGCACGAGATTTATCATAAACACTATTCGTTACTGCTTCCGGTGCAGGACCTTAATTAGAGATTTTTTTTTTAAATAATTATGATCGATATTCAATAAATAGTAAATAACAAACCTCCATTTGCAATATTAAATTTAACGCCAAAATCATGATCGATACCACCTGGATTATGACTTGCAGTAAGAATAATTCCACCATCGGTACCATACTTTCGAATAACACATGAAACAGCTGGTGTTGACATAATTCCATCTCGTGCAATTAATAATTTTTTAACCTATATTTGAATTTTAGTAAGAAAAATAATTTGAAGAATTCTCTTGAATAGTTTTATATTTTTGTTAGACAATTTACTAAGACAAAATGTCGCTGTCGGAAGTTTTTGATTAGAACAAAAAAAAAAGAAAGAAATTTCTCTGTTAATATTTGTAGATTCAATTATAGATTCTTTCAAAATCAAGTTACCGATCCAACAATAAATTAAGCGCTATCTATTTTGTAGTGATTATAGAAAAAAATCACTTATATGTATCTAATAGATTTGAATTAGAGACTTCCTATATTTTGTTTTATTCTTGTATCTCAATGAATTATAAACTTCTCATACGCTTCAGTTCCTTGAATAAAACTGTTCGAAAAATGTTGTTCTATTTTAAGAATGACATTTTAGTAACCAAATAAACATTAATCGGAAGTGTCATTGCTAAAATATAGTAAAAAACTTGTCAATGTATTCCCATGAGGAATCAAAATGTAACATTTACAAACGCTGACTTCAATAAATTTATTTATAGAGTAGTATATTGATAGGCACGTTCTGAAATTTATCATGTCGACAATATTTGCATTTAGAGCAATTTATTAGATTCATTGAACATTGTTATTGGAGAAAAAAAACATTTCTTTGTATTATGAGATACATTTTCAATACATAATTTCTTTTCTTCTAATGATAATATATTCGAAACATGCCATAATGCAACAGCAAATACCATTTTATTCTTCATTTCACATCATCTTTTCTCTCAGCAAACTTTGGCATATACTGTTAAGTTTTACTTGATCTTCGATATTGAATTACTTCATATGTTTTTATATCCGTCCTATTCTGAAATCTAATAGATCAATAATATCACTATCATACAGATTGTCATCTACCATAAGATCCTTTCGTTGAATTAATTATCAAAATCTGCAATATTTAAACCTAGTTAAAATCTACAGAGTTTCAGAATAATCGAAGTACCGCTATTACTCACACGTCTTTTCTCATTGCTAGGAAAATGTACTCAATGAACTTTGATCTTCTTCCTCCCACGCTCGGTTGCTAGAACCTGTGGAGAAAGAGGAGAATGAGAACCATAATAACTTCAACTTAAACTTGTATTCACTATTTTCTTTGAAAATATATGTGAGTTTCAGAAAATCATTCTAATAGATCGAAGAATTTTTTCAACAATATCTTAAATTCGAACTAGAATTGACCTTGTTGATTTCAAATAAATGTTTGTCTAAAATAGAAGATCAAAGTTTTTGTATTAGCGGCATAAAAAGATGGTAATTCATATTAATATAGTATTTAACATCAAGATTAACTCTTTAAATAGTTTGTACTTGTTGACTTTTGATCTTAACAAGTAAACGTAAAGAACGAACATAAGTAAAATTTTGATTTAGTAGAAATTTTTCTTATTTTGAAAATATTTATATTTGATAAAAACAATCTAAAATATTCTTACATTATTGGCAGCAGCCATTTGAATAATAATTCTAGTACCTTCTCGTACAAAATGTCTTCCATCACCACCAACAACTAATGTTGGTGGTTGATCATTACATCTTTCAGCTAAATCATCAAAATAAGCTTGAATAAAATTTTCAAAATATTGATTTTCTTTAAATGTTTTTGTTGGTTTTCTTAATCCACTTGTACCAGGTTTTTGATCTGTAAATGGTTTTGTTGAACGAATTTCAATCACATGTTTAATTTGTTCTGGATTGGACATATTTTCTTTCCTGTTTAAAATAAATTTCTTTATCTAGAAAAATGAAACTAAGAAGAACGAAATAACAACAGATGAAATATCGTTTTCTTTTCTTCTTTTTTTTTATAATGAAATAAAAACAAGAAAAAGAAAAACAATTTTAAGTAACACGAAGACTTTGTAAATGTGCTTGCGTTGAATTTAAAGCTTGTTCATGTAATTGTTTCTGTTCTTCTTGTTTAAAAGCAATTTTTGTTGCTTTTTTAAGTATTCGACGATCCTAAATGAAAAGAAAAAAAGTTTTAATACAATGAGAAAAAGAAACGAATTGTAAAATTTTACTTTTCGAATTTCTTTAACAGCTTGTTTTCTTACACGTCGTTCTTCACTTGTTTCACCTTTTTTTCTTTCGAATATAATTGTTTGTTGATTCGTTGATTCTTTATCATTATTCTCATCATCATGTATTTCATTGATTATTACTTCTTTTGTTTTTATTTTATTATTATCAGTTAATGGTAAACCAGTTTTTTTTGATAAACGAATTCGATTTATTGAATTTTGTGTTATTAATTTTGGATGATTATATATATTTGAATATGTTGTTAAAATTGTTTCACAATCCCATTTATCATCTTCATTTTCATCATCATCAACAGTTATTGTTGTTAGTTTTTCAGGTTCATTTAATAAACGTTTAGCTATTTTTTTTGTTTTTTCAATTGCTGTACGTTCAATTTGTTCATCACTAAAACCAAAGACAAACAGAATTATTTTTTTACAGACTATTGATGATATTAATTGAACCACAATTATATGTAGTTATTGATTTAAGATTTTTGTCATGATTTTTTTGTATGACTACACATATTGATATCATGTAAAGGTAATAGTACTTCAAAACATCTCGATTTTTCTATGCATGGATTAACTCATTTTGAGCTGACTGTTGGTTTTCATTAAAGAAATTTCTTTTTATATTGAGCTTAGGAAAGGTTTTGTTTAGCATCGACTTTCAAATTTTATTCTATTAAGACCTATTTTATGACTATAGCTTGAATCGCTTATATTTTTCTTGTTTCATGCTTAACATTACCATGAACTCGATTAACTGTATTATTATGGATTCTGGACGGAAAACTGCTAGCGCAATTTCTATGGAATTAAAATAGGAAACATCATGAAGCTGCATAGTTTGTAAATGAAGGAATTCACTAATAAATGTTTTAATTTATGAATTACTAACTATTGATAATCCATATCGATGATCATCAGAGCTGTTGATACTTCTTAGAGGTGCAAGAGACTATAAATTTGACAAATAGTCTGATGTAGAAAGTAACTGATTAAAGCTACATTCTTAACGTTGGTAGACGATTTTCCAATAACAGCTCAACACTTTTCTCAGACACATTAGTAAAAAAATTAGAAATGAATAAGCCACTTTAGCCTCTTCCATCTCGAGATGAATGTCAATGATGAAAGATGTTAATCGTATTATGATACCACGAGTGTGAATGAAGCAAAGAAGAGGAAAGACTAATCCTGTAGTAGACTTCGTTTTCATGGCTATCTCCGTCCAAACTCAAGAAGAGAAGACCTTGCTACTTTACGTTTCATAGCTTGTAGAATTATATCTATAGTTCAACACTGCTTTTCAATCATGTTTCACAAAACTTTTCATTCCTGAAACTGAGAGATGTTGATTTATATTATTAGTATATCAACAGAAAGAGAAGCTTTACGCTGAACTAACCTTGTTGATCATGTCTGTACAGATGATTTTAGAAAACTGAGCTCTCATCTTCAAGCCAGCGTCTCGTTACGCTACTACTATATCTAATCCTGATAATTAGAAACCCACAATTTTGTAACACTCAACTAGAATACTGATTCTAGAAAACAAGTTTTTCAAACTGAATGTCTTATTTTTTTTACCATTAAAAAACAAAATTTGTCATGTCTAACGAGGAATGGTCATTGAGTATGGTTCGCTAATGGAACTAATATCTTGTCTATAAGTTAACCTTGATAACAATCGTAGAAATCCATAAGAGTTCGTCTCCGTGAGTCACTTTTCCGAAGTTATTACAGTGTTACTGTATTTTACATATTTGTCAAAGTAATTGCGAAAGAATCGAATTGCAAAATGTCAAAATTGAAATGTGTCTACAGGTAAATCGCGTGAACTTTCGTACGCTCGAAAAATTTTAGCTGAAAAGAATGTATTATATTTGAGATATCGAATGTTGAAAACACTTGTTTTTTTTTATCTTTCACTATCAAATATAATTGTGTTTTGGATATTGAATATCTTAAGAAAAATACATCATGTCGGGCTAAAAATTTCAGATTGAAATTCAGTAAAATCTCAATCACTTGCAAAAGGTATCGTATGAGTTCGAACTCTTATAGGTTTTTATTTATGAGTAAAATATTAGTACGATGTGTGAGTCACAGTTGAAAATGTTTCTTATTTATAGTTGTAATATTGTATGAATAAATAAATCTTACGTTTGCATTTGTTGTTGTTCAAATTGTTCAATAGTTTGTTGAACAAGATCATCTTGAATTGAAGCACCTTGTTGATTAATATGATAAGAATCTAAAGCACCAATATTATCATCATCATAATCATCAAAAATTTTATCAAAATGATCATCAATATTTTGTAATCCTTGATTTCTTCTAATAACTGATGATGTCATTGAATAATTTGTATATTTTGTTTTTGATGTTTGTTTATCATCATCTTGATGAGACATATTTGAATGAAGATCATCATCATCATCATCATCATCTTGATCAAGAAAACGTCTTAATGCAAGTGGAATTGGTTTATTTGTTTTTGGGACAAAAAGTGGTGGAATAGTTGTTGGTAAATTTTCATTGATTATTTCATCTCTATACAAAAAAACAAAAAATGAAAGAGTTTTTTTTTCTTTGAATATTTTTTAAAAAAAAAAAAAAAATTTTTTTATTTTTTTTGGTTACTCGAATTCATCACATTCTTCATCAGCAAGTGGTTGAATACCATTAGCTTTGAGCATAAAATCATCATCAAGAAGATTATCATTAGCATCATAATCAAATTCATCATCATCAAGTGCAGCAATAACATCAGGATCCCAATGAATTTTTGGATCTAAAAATTTATATTGAAATATCATATTTAACCTTGTCTTTTTTTCTAGAAATAAATCTCTACCTGAATCTGGAGCTGCAAGATTTAACATTCCTATTTCATTTGTTGTTCTACTTTCAAAAACAGTTGATGGAAGATTAAAACGAGTTACAGTCTAAATAGAAAATAATTTATTATTCTATTAAAAACAAAAAAAAGAATCGTTTTTTTGTTTGTATTATAGTACAGTTTCTTCATTGTTTTCTTGTTTGTCATCGTCATCATCATCTTCTTCTTTTTCTGGTTCTTCTGTTTCGTTAACATGAACAGAATATTCTTCTGGTGGTGCACATGGATCACGTAAATGTTGTAAATAATCATAATCATCATCATAATCAATTCCAAATTTACGTTGCTCAGCTTTTCTTTGTTCAACCTTTAGTTTTAAGATTTTTTTTTTTTTAAATAAATTTAAAAAAAAAGAGAAATTTTTTTTAATAAATAACTCACACCAACTGGAACAAGAACACGTTCACCAACAGTATCATCAACAATTAATGGATCATGTTGACTACGATGAACAAGTTGAAATGTTATTGCTTTTTTTTTATCAATAAATTTTCGACGATGAGGCATTTTTTTTGAGTAATATTTTCTAAAACCTAGAAATTCAACAATATATATACATTCAATATATATTTATGGCGCAAGATAGATCATCTATACACCATTGCAATTGCAATATTACTAGTTTATTTATCGATACAATTAGAACATGAGATAATAGATGGCGCTTTTAAAAGAAAGCAAACTAATAATTAACATTAAATAATATTATTGAAAATATGAACAAAATATGTTTGAATTTAGATATAAAAATGATTATTACATTAATTGTTATTATATGACAACTGAAGATTATGAAGTGAACTTATCATCGTCTATCTTCTAGCCTTAAAATCAATTTATTAACTTTTCTAGAAGCTTTTCTTAAACTGATGCAAATATTCAGTAGAGAAAAAAAGAAAATTTAATTTAAATCTTTCTTAAAAGAATACTAAAAAGTTTTTTTTTAACATTGAATAAAATGGACTATCATAATAAATACCTAACTCAACAATTAATATTATTTATGCATAGTTAATTAGTTTTAAATTTAATAATCAAACATATGAAAAACACTATTTAGAGGTTTTTTTCTAATGAAGCAAAGCCCTCCAAGTGATTAAAGGCTATTAGGGCGAGATTTATACCATTAAGGAAAGCCTATGGAAACTAGACCGAGCCTGTAATGATTTGTGTCTTTGTTGCTTTTTTTCGAGATTAAGAAATGTATCTGGATTCCGTAAGTCCTGAGCTCATAGAACTCTTAAAAGTGCAATGTCACTTACGAAACCTACAGGAATGAAGGAAGTTTCAGAATTCAAATAAGGCTAACAACCGAAGCAACCTTAAGATTTCAAGATTTTGTTGAAATTTAGGTAATAGATCAACTCTAGTACTACAAACCAAATAGATATTATCACATCTTTCTTATTTACTATTTTAAAATAACTGTAGTGACGTCTTACATCCTGAAATAATACGAAAGATAACAAATATACAGTATAATCTTGTTAGTGAACATTCAAATATGTGTGTCTGTGAGCATAGAGAGAATCGAAATCCAAACCTAAACTTGCATTCTTACCTTTCCAAGAGATCTCTGAGTGAAGTTGCACTATTGAGAGTTCTAAGAGTTCAGAACTGATGAAATTCGACTATTGCTGTGAAACTTTACAAATAAAGGAAGCGGTCTTATGAATTCTCTCATGATTTGAAAGTTTCAGTTCGAACGAATGTTTTCTTCGCGAGAGGCATATTCTGAACGAATGCGTATATTTTAGAAATGATGGAAAAAAATTCGGTTTTTCTAAATATGTTATCTGAGAGATAAAATATTCATTTTAGCTGAAAATTTCGGTGTTTGACAAGATTCATAAAGTCTTTTTATTGACAAAATTTCAGATCGGATCGACAACATTAAATTTTTGATGCCATACCCTGCACTTGAACAGAAACTCAGTAATAGAGCCATAACTAGAGAAAAAAGCAACAAGAGCACGAATTATTATAGGTTTGATCTAATGTCCATAAATCCTACGTAATACTACAAATTTCGTCTCATAAAAATTTTTGTTTTCTGAAAAGATTTCCTTATAATTCAGATATTATCCATTTGAAACATTGATAGTTGATTAATAATCAGTGATGTTATCTTTTCAACGTTCATTTTACACAGTAGGAAAATTATTTTCCTAAGGTATAATATCCAGATGAATTGATGCAAACAACACGTACTTTTCAAATTCGGACTTCAAAAACTTATTAACAACTTTTCTGTTTTACATTGAATGAAGTCGAATTAAAGCTACGACATGGATTCACTATTTAAGGGCGTGCGAATTACTAACGTTTTGAATATATGTCATAGACTTTGGTAATTTATAAAGTAGACATATGGAGCTGTTTTCAGTTTCAGAAAAAAAAGCAACAGTAACTAGTAGAATAACAATATCTACATATTTCCATTGAAAATGTTCTTCAAAAGAGAAAGATATACAAACCATAACTACAATATACAGGAGCCGATGGAGAGGGATTTGATGCTTGTAATCAGAACTTCCTATCGTACGCATGCATCTTAAATATCAGCTAAATATTATAAAGCACAGTGGTACTTCCAGATGGAGGCACTTACATTTGTCGAGGACTGTAATATATTATTTAATCTTATAGACTACTTTAACAAATAGAATGATTTTACATTTCAATAGTATATATATATGAATAAATAATTAACGATGACTATTCTAGATATTTACATATTAAAAACTAAGACGGAAGAGAACACTAAAAAAAAAAGCAGGATAAAAATTTCAATAAAGAAAAAGTTTAAAATTACACTTGTATAAATATTTTTATTCAAAGGTACAAAAAGAAAATATATCGCATTCGAAGACATATAATCCTGAGAATATATTCATGATATTGAAAAGCTTTCAACATCTTATTTCATTTTTTTTTCTGAATATTATTTCGATGAAAATCTCTTTTTTATGATTTTTGTTTCTTTTAAATTTTTTTTTCGTTGTAATTAATGTTCAATCTTTGTCTATAATTATATGTTTTCAAACAAAATTCATTTAATAGTGCTCACTGTGTTTTTTGGACGATATATGTACAGAGTTAAGTTATGCTATAAAAGTAACATTATCAAGCTTAAACTTTGATACAAACGATTACAATCGGAAGAACAAGCATTAGTTTCATACGTTCCTAATCTATCGAAAATATTTAGAAATTCAAATTAAGTGAGAGTATCGTTTTCACGACTTATCTTTTGGTAATAACAAGACATTTATATGATTAAAACGAATCATTTAATACTGAATATGTTAACAACAAACCAATAATGATTTACATTGTGTACGTAAATATTTTTCTTCTTAGGTTTTGCCTTTATTCTACTCTCTTTATTGTTATTAATATTAGCATAAAATATTCTGATGTATTTATATTTATACATAATTTATAAACTTTGATATAATGTTTATTTCGAAATTTCCTTTTTTTTTGTAAAAATAGGAAAATCTTGATAATGCTGATGAAATTCATGATAAAAGAATTCAAACGAGAACTTGTGCTGATAAGCGTTCTTTTTTTTTTAAAGAACTCACTTAATATGAATACAGTCGATGTCTCGATGTTTATGTTTGCTTAAGGAATGATTCGATGTCAGCACTCTCTTTCTCATCCACATGCTCTTGTCATTCTGATATTAACTGTGTTAGTTGCCAGCTTTTGTATTTTTTTTTATTACCAGGGGTAACTCTCCTTTACTTTTCACACGTGGTGAAAGACATGTTTAGAGGCGTAAACGAAAAAAGAAAAAAAAATCTCTTGCCTGATAACACAACGCTTGAAGTCAGTTACTTCATGCATTTTTCAGTTACTAATAAATATTACTCGTCAACTTATATTACAGTTCTTCTGCAAGTGATACACGTAATTCAATAGCCGTTTTGACAACAAAAAATATCCAAAAGTAATCAACACAATTAGGGAGAACTGATCATGAGTATTTTAAGATTATGGCGTCTAATTCAAATGTTTCTACTGGTAAAACACAATGAAAAATATAAACCGACAATGACTATTAAACTATAATCTTTTTTTTCGTACAATTTCAGGTTGCTATAATAAATACTAATGCTCAATTGAGAAATATTACAGATGATTCAGTTAGTGTCACACCTGAAGTTCAGTTCTTAATAATAGATTCCACGACTCATTCAAACTCAGGTTAGCAACTAATCTTTACATGTATATTTATTGCATAATTTAAAATAATATCATAGATATGAGTAGCGAATCAACAATGCTCATAGAGAATGTAAATGACGTCATCAGTACGAGTAATAGCTTCAGTGAGACTACGATTCAAAAAGAACAAACTAATAATTCAACAGCAGACGAAGCTGTTTACATAATTGTTGGGAGAAGACAAATAGAAAGACAATCTACAGAATTCGACAATAATACAACAGCTACTACAAGTAAACATCTAGCTTTTGTTTGTAATAAATTCATTTAACTCGTATACTACTTCATTTTTTTTAGTTATGATATGTGCTCCTATAGAATCAAATCCAATTAATGTAACTTATCGTACATCATCAATGTTCACAGCAATCATTACTTACGACTGTCCTTCTATGGACTTATCTAGTTTAGAAATACACAATAAAACACCAGCGAATTGTTCTCACACTGAAGGTTTTTCAAACGATGATTCAACTAGCAACGTTAAAGTTACATGTCACAGTATTGAAAATAAGGCTGGTCGAAACTTCGAATTCGTTCTCAGTCAACATGAACGTAATCAATTTATTAACACGACTACTTTTATTGTTACACTTGCACCATTATTTCTTAACATTTCGGCAAATATCACTATAACAGTCGATACAAATCTAACATCAGCATTAATTTCAGTATCGGATTGCGAGGAAATAGCTGAACCAGACAAACTCATGTTTGAATGTGATAGTTCCAATGAATTGAATGGGTCTCGTTCAACAAACTGCACATACATATGTGTCGGTGTACAACCGGGTTCTTTTTATCAAGCATCATTGATTCGATTGAACATTACACAAATTGACAACAATGAAACGTTTCCACAAGAAATTAAAACTAAAACCTATCACATAGGTAATTAACACATGATGAGAAATTTATTATCCAAAAATTTTTATATTGTTTCGCATTTCGTTCTCATTTCAGATCTTGATAAAGTAACAAATTTGGCTTTACATAAATATTTGACGAGTAATGGAACAGCAGTGATTCATTTCACTCTTCCACGTGGACATTATGATAAACTTAGTTTTGATTGTAATGCACAAGATCAATGTTGTAACGAATCTGCTCAGAGTCTTACCAATAACATTATAAACTGTTCCAGCTGCAATGCCATTTCGATACCTGAAGTAGTTCAAGGAGTTGAATACATATGTCAAGCTTCGACTATGAAAGCAGATTTCGAAAATGTTACATCGGATAAATTCCGGTTTAACACAAGTGAGTCATCAAGATCGCTGTAAATCTACTTCAAAATGGATTGATTCTGTTTGACGTAGGTTTAGCACCTGTATTGTACAATGGACCGAACACCTCTAATACAAGTCATATTAATTTCATTGTTACTCGTCAAAGTGATTTTAAGAATATTATAACACAATGTGAAGTAGCTGGTGATCAGTCATCTTCTTGTCCTCATATTATGGTTGAACATGATGATTGCTCTACAATTTTGCAACTGAATGGAACTCGTGGATGTGATTATGAATGTTATTTTATAACACACAAAATAAATTATACTGATGTAGATTCAACATCCATCAACATTTCATTTTGTGATTACCTTATGAAATTAATCAAACAAATCTAATGCATATTTATTTAGATCCTCCAATGCCAACGATCGAAGAGTATACAAGAGGATCACGGTGGATATATATTAAATGGAAAATAGATGAAATTTCATATATTCAATCTTTTGATCTATTCAAAAACAACACTCTAATAGAAAATTTGAATGACATAGATTTTTTCATCAAGAATACCACGTTTTCTTATAATTACACGAATGAGATTGAACCCTATCGATGGCAAGTAGTATTTTATTCTTTGTAAGTTTCAAAAGACATTTTTATTCTGTTTTAGTTATGAGATTTATGTTCAACTCAATTCAAATCTTAAGATGCCATCTAAATCGATTTTTGTTAAGACATTACCAGACCGTGAGTAATGCTATTTGTTGTTATAAATTAATTTAATCTTAATTATATATAGGACCTAAAATACCAACTGATAATGAGGTGACGAATAATATTGCTCCACAAGAAAATCATCCGCAATCAACAAGCACTCAGTTTGTTATTAATATAAACCCATTATTATTTTCTCCTGACAATGGTATTATAGAAAAATATTTAATTTATGTTCGTCAAGGTAAAAAAGACATTTTTATTTTTATTTTTTATATACACATAAAAAAAAATATAAATGATTTATTCCTGTGTAGATCAAAGTAATACTATGCCAGAAATAATTTTGAATGGAACATATGTTGAAGCTTGGAATAATGCATCATTCGATTATTTGGCTGTCGAAATTCCAATCAGTTCTTCATCAAAGAATTGTAAGTGATAACAGAATCATTTTATTTACATGAAAACATACGTATTTTTATGAAATAATATTGCTACGTAGTTTTATTTTTCTCCTAGTATAGTAGTAACAAATGATAGCAATATCAGTGTATTACTTGGTAATCAAACAATATGTTTAAATACGTCTGTAAAATCTACTCCATGCAATGGTCCATTAAAACCGTCGACAACCTATAAGTATATTTAATGTATCTTTTTTTCTTTGAATTTCTTTTTGAAAATGAAAATGAAAATGAATAGATTGATTGTGAGTGGCTGTACAGTTGCTGGTTGTACTTCTGTGCTTTCCAAACAATTTATAACACAGAGTAAGTCATATTTACGTTTTTGTCTCTTGATGCCTATTAAAATTGATCATATTAAAGAAATAGCAGCGCCACCAGACAAATCAGGATCGTCGAAAGCATGGGTTGTTATATTTCCCCTGTTGGTTCTTGCTATTGCTGCTGGACTAGCTGTATGGAAACGCGAACCACTTAAACAAATGATTAAGAACAATATTAAAAAGGACAAAAAGTAATCATCTTATTAGAAATTGTTTTACTTTCATGATGAATTCTTTTCTAGGAGTTTAGAAGATGTTCGGTAAATAGAAATGAAATTTTTCTTTTTTTAAAGAAAAATATTGAAATTTTCTAAATATATCATTTCATCATTATAGTAAATCATCAATATCATTATCAGCAATATATACGGCTCCTATGAAGAAGTAAGTTCTTGTTTATACTTCGACTTTATGAGTAGAATAGGGCAGGGGTACAGTTTTCATATTCGTATCCAGTTTCGAGTACGAGTGTGAGTATGCAAACTCGACTCGTGGATTGCATTACTGTAGTGAATCGTTGTTAGCTTAACAGAGCGAACAATTAACAATGTGAGCAAGGATATCAATATTAAACAGCAGCATTTTTAATGCGTACTTTCAATTCTTTTTTTTATGAATTATAGTGTTAGAAATGAAGTTTGCGTCTTCACAAATCGTTATTTTTCATACCCATAGCCATACTGGTTACGAGCATCTGAGCTACAGGGTGCAATATTCTATTCATGAAGATGAAAGTCATTCTTAAATTTCCTTTCATTTATTTTTCTTGAATAAATAAATTCTTAGAGGCTATATATGATTTATTCTTATTTAGACCAAAACCACTTTCTCAATATATTAATATGACGAACGAAGATGAAAAAGCAATATTTGCCGAATATCAAGTCAGTAAAAAGATCATATAACTGATGTAGCAGAATGAATGTTGATCTGACTATTTGTACCATTTTTTTCTCAGTTTTCAATTCTATCGAACTATTCGTTTCGTTTCAAAGATTCTTCGCTCAATTCTCTACAAACTATTAGTATATTTCATTTGACAAATATAATCTTTGACATTGTCTAACAATCAATAGAAATATTGATGTCAACAATAGCAACTTTTCTACATTATCTTTCAATTTTATGAACTAATTTGAATTACATTTTTAATATAAATAAACTATCTATAAAAATGATATTAGAGTCGGAAATGTTCAAGTAATGTGCTAGGATTAGATTGAAAAAAATTCAAGTGACTTTCGATAGTTGAAAGATGATGTGACATATTTTTTCATCACTGATTTCAATCCTTTCATCGATTGTTAGAGAATAGAAAAGATTTTATTTTTCAACTGAAATTTAACAGTTTTTAGAGAATTGAATGCAAAAATCATTGACAAGAAAAGAATAACTCGATAGAATGAAGAGATTAGAAAACTTATGGTTAAAACAGTGATGATGCTGTCATTTATTCTACAGCATCTGTAACTAATCTAAGAATTGATGATTACTTGTAGGAATTGGATAGTACCTCTCCACAATACCGTCTATCAGAATATGAACCTGAACATGAAGGATTAGATCGATATTCTAACATTCTTGCTCGAGGACCTTGTATGTAAATTGATTTTGTTTTAATATAGTTTAATTATCTTGATTTTATATTATCACAGGGGAACGCACAGCTGTTCGACTAAGTGGTTCTCATCGTATTTATGATTATATCAATGCAAATGAAATAAAAGTAATGATATGAATTGAAAATAATCGAAATGATATCTATGTTATAAAACAGGGATTCAACAGTAATAAACAATATATAGCTTGTCAAGGTCCATTAGAAAATACTTGTGAAGATTTTTGGGACATGATTATTCAATATGATGTAAAGAAAATAGTCATGTTAACAAGAACAGAAGAACGAAATCCTCATAATCCTTCACAAACATTAGTAATAATTATTATTATGAAGAAAGATTTCTAAATTGCATATTATATTTTAGTCAAAATGTTATCGTTATTTTCCTGATAACAAAGGACAATTAATAAAATTCAATAGAATATCTGTTCAAGTGATCGATGTTGAATTTGAAAGAAATGTAGATCTTGAAATTCGTTATTTACTTATTAAAGCTGTATATTTTATTTTTTGTTGAGTTTTTAATTGAATTCATAATTTTTTTTTTAAGGATAATAACGAATATCGTGTATTTCATTATTATTTTACTGGTTGGCCAGATTTTAGTGTTGTTGAACCACAAAAATTACTTGATCTCATTCAAACTATTAATAAACATGAACAAAATCAATTTATTTCAGCTAGAAAATCGAAAGACCCTGTATTAGTACCGATAGTTGTTCATTGCAGGTTGAAATCTATGTCAAAAAAAAGAAAATAGATAATTTTAACTTTTTATTTAATTTTTAATTTTGAAGTGCTGGTGTTGGTCGAACAGGTACTTATATAGCAGTAGATACCATTATGCGTTCCATTGATCGAGAACAGAACAATTTATTAACAATGCAACTTGATGTTATGGGTATTGTTTATCAATTACGACAAGATAGAGGAAAAATGGTACAAACGAAGGTAATTTTTAATTTGATTTATTTATCGATAATATATATTCTTTTTATAGGATCAATACTTGTTGGTAAATCGTTGTGTAAAAGAATATTTAAAACAAACTAATCGATTAAATGATAGTAAGTTATTTTTTATGAATATATTCACGACTGATTATAAAAGGAAGAAAGAAAGAAAGAAAGAAATGAGAAATATCGGATTTATGATGATTATCAATTATGAAAAATTTCTTTTAATTCTAGCGATGTGAAAACATTTGTTTTCTTTGCATTATGACAGAAAGGAAATACTATGATGCATGTTTCTGTCATATTGACTATTTCGAAACTATCCTGTAGCTATTTAGAAATAAAAACAACATGTTTTAACTCTAGTTTTGCAACAATCATCGGTATATGAAAATGTCTATATGAATCCTACAACATCTAATAACGATCCAATTATGAAATCACCATCGAATCGTTCTAATAAGAGCGAATACAGTTCATCTAAAGTTGGTGATCGTAGTCGTCGTTCCAGTCCTGTTTCATAATCTAAATATTGACATTCATATAATGATCGTCATAGTAAAACAAGAGATAATAATTCATCACTTCGACCTTTTCGAACATATACAAGTAGTCAATCATTTCATTTTTTAAAGAAAATTCTTTGAAACAAATTTTATAAAATTACCTATTTCCGGTGTGCAGCTGTTCTTTCTTTCTTTTTGTATTGTATTATTTATTTTTATTTCTTATATTGGAATTAATAATTTTTGTGATGATAAAAAATAACAAGTGTGATATTTATTGGATATAATTTCGTTTTTTTTTCTTTCAAGTATATAAATAAAAACGGTTTGGCACATCAATAGACAACTATGATATGTAACTTATGTATATATATATGCTACGATCTAAATCGAAATTTGATCAATTAGTATGTTCTTTCGGACGAAAATGTAATTCGAGTTTTGACCAGATTACTTTTAAACGAAATTAGAATTGAACTCGAAGTAAATTGTTCTAATTAAAAACAACTAAAGTTTAAATCAACAAAGATGTGAGTTTGGATCATATATGGAACCGATCGGATGGATTTATCAGGCTAGATGGGGCTGATCAGAATACAAATACAACCGATCTACCGATAAACCGGCCGGTATCGGACTGGATCAGTTTAGACGGACTAGTCACCGATTCCGATTCCATATATGCTGTAGAGTATGTGGATTAGGAGAAGACTCATACCATAAGCATTGGAAATAAACCTTTCCAACCTGCGCTTATAATATAGAAGACTTTCTTGAAGGAACAAGGCACTTCCTTTTATTCATTAATTTCTCAAAAATTTGTCAATGCACCCTCATATGGGGTCAAAGGGTGGAACTGAAGATTTATTATTGAACTATCAAACGTAGAGTTTAATTCTGGAGAAACTTTTGTAAGAGCTCAATTGAACAGAATAAATACTAAGATAATTTTAAATTAAAAAAGAATTGTACAGATCTATTATAAAAGGCTTGCTTCGGCGTTTTTAGTTCTTCTTTCATTGCAAAGCAGCTTATCTCAAGTACTTCATCTAAAATTCTGAAACATACATCCAATGATGCAGAATTCCATGAAGAATTTTGTGACATTCTTGAAATTCTAGTCAAACTTTTCATTAGAAAAAAAACTTTCTGTATATTTAGGGTGTTTTTGAATGTCACAGTTGAGCAATTGAATGGATGTTCATCTTTCAAGGTTGAAGCTAACGAAGAATACGTGCTTGAAAAGTCAAATA